TTCATGGAGTACAGATCAATTAAATAATTTAATTAATAATACAGCTGTCTCAGTTCATTTGACAACAGACCTTTGGACAGCTAAAAGTAATTACGGGTATATTGGAGTGACGGCCACCTGGCTTGCCCCTGATTTTACATTTCGTGAAGTTTTATTAACTTGTAATGTTCTTGACCATCCGCATACTGGTGAAATTATTGGTGAGGAGTTGTATCGTGTTATTCAACAGTGGCATCTTACTAGTAAAGTTTTTACTATTGTCACAGACAATGGGGCAAATATAGTAAAAGCCATCCGTCTTCTTAAAGATTCTTTGCCTTTGATTGAAAGACAATCTTGCGCAGCCCACACTTTACAGTTATCCGTGCATGAAGGTCTAAAACAATGCAAACATATACATAGACGAATTAAAAGTTTACAGTTGTTTTTTAAATCACCAAAACAAGCACAAAGATTAAGAGAGGTGCAGCATGATAATTATCAAGCTGAATATGATGAAAACATTGAAGCGCCAATAAGTCCTTTAGATGTCTTGCTTGATACCAAAACCAGATGGAATTCTACCTTCATAGCATGGAAATGGCTTCTTGAATTACACAATTCCATACGCTTGGTTTCAGCATCGTTGTTAATAAAACAGGATCGTGCATCTCAAAAAGAAGGAGAAAAGTTAGACAAATTGTGTCTAACATCTGAAGAAAAATCGTAAATATCTTATCAAATTAGAGAATTGGGTTTTTATATTCTTGTAACTATAAAATCCTGGTTCTCTAATTTTAAAAAAAATTTTTTTTACTGCTTATTATATGGCTTTGTATTCATAAATTATCTAGCATGTTTTGATACACTATCGCCATTCTAATAAACTTTGACCCAGAAATTTGGAATAAGCACGGATGCTAAAATTCAATTGTCACATGCCATGATCTATTAAAAAAATCAATTTTTCATATTTATTGAACGTGACAATTAAGGATTACCTATCTTCGGCATCGTTAATCTCATCACTAGACAAGAATATTTTTTTGAACAGTTTTTAGTCATATAAAAGCTGTCTGAAATTGTAAAGTCAGCAACACTAATTTAGGATGTTTTCAAGTTATATTCATATATGGGTCATCTTTCGCTTTTGCTATGAACATTGATCACTCTTAGTAAATTTAGAAATAACACTAATACATATTTTAAAATTTAATTCAATTCCAATTATTTACTTTTTAAAATTTTTTTATTTTATATACAGTTTCGTTGAAGAAATGATCCAACTATTAGAACCATTTGAAGCTTTAACACGACGATTATCAGGTGCCAAATATCCAACACTTAACCTAGTACATCCATGTATATATACGTTAAAGCAAATGTTTGCTCCAAAAATTGATCAAAATGAAACCGTTGATAGTTATATGGATCTTATCTATGGTCCTTTAATACAAGATGATATATTAGAGAGTGCTGAAGATAATGATGATTCAAGTTCCACAAGTGATGATAATGATATTCCAACTGCTGGAAATCAATGACACTTAAAACGTGCCTACCAACAATTTAAGCAGCAAATAAAATGTACACAAAGGTGAGATCGAGGTAAAGATTGAAATTTTTAAGTTAACTAACCAGTCAACTATAGTCTTTTCCTAGACATAGAAATGGGTTTCATGCATGCGCATGATTTCGTTTCATGCACATTTTATCCTATCAAGATCTCTTTCCTCTTGATCGTTTTTTCTTTTTTTTTGCCTTTTTTTTATCATGCGATATCATGCGCATTAATACGCATGTTATTATAAAATGTGCATTTTTCCCATCAATACCTAGACAGCACTTATATAGTATTTTAGTTTACAGTTAACTTATCTATTTTATCCTTAGGTCGGGGTTGGGGCCGAGGTCGAGGTCGAGGTCGAAATAATAATAGAACTAAAAAAAATGAAAATGTAAATATAGATGTTAATCAAATTGAATGTTTACCACCAGCAAGCACAGAAAATCTTATTCAAAGGGTCCGTGCGGCTATATATCTTTCTTTGGATAAACTATGGGAAATATCAAACGAAATGCCTTTAATTGCGACGATTTTAGATCCTCGAATGAAAAATTTCTCTTTTGCAAATAGTTTTGACCGTGTACAACAATGAACACAAGCTGAGTCTCTTTTAAGAAACTTATATACTCAACTTAAGCAAAATTCAGCGATTGGTGAAAATGTTGAAGAGCATTTAGCAAATTTAAATAATGTTAGTACTGAGGATATATTTGCAAAAATATGGGGTAATGATCAAATACAAGATGATGAAGTTACCCGTTATCTATGCTATCCTGATGAACCAAAAAATATTGATCCTTTGATTTGGTGGAAAGGGCATCAGGTAAGTTATCCCTTGTTATCACAATTAGCATGTAAGTATCTTTCGATACCTGCTACATCTGTTCCTAGTGA